TGATCTCAAAACAAACACCTTAAAAGATTATTTTAGGGCGCCTGGTTGCTCAGTCAGTTAAGCGTCTGCCTTCGGCTCAGGAGGAAGGTCTTCAGGTCATGATTCCCAGGTTTCAGGGTCCTGGGATCAAGCCCCATGTCAGGCTCCCTGCTCAGCAAGGAGCCTGCTTCTCCCTCTGTCTCTCTCTCTCTCCCCCCCTTATTCCCTGGTCGTGCTCTCTCTCTCTCTCTCAAATAAGTAAATAAAATCTTAAAAAAAAAAAAAAAGATTATTTTAGGTTACAGGACAGAGGTATTAAAAGCAATGTAGACGGCTGAATCCAAGAATTAAGCTTTGCAAAAGATTAATGTAATATTAATGACAAGTATACTTGTAACTAATGAGAATGGGTCCAGATGATCCCTAAAGGAACCCTGTTCTAGACATTCCACACTCAAGCCTCCTTCCCTATTTAAACAAGACACAGGCCCAACTAGCTCTTTGCTATTTTCTAGATTTTAAAAAATTATGACATACAGAACAAGTTGACACATAAGCTTTCCCCAGAAATCCAAAATTTTTGCCTAAGAATCAAGTGACTAGGCAATGAACACAGATTCCTGGGTTTCTGTGATAATTCTAGAAGCAACAAGTGACTAGTAAAAAGGGCTTTAAAGCCTTAAACTGTTGATTCTTCATCCTTATAGTTAATAAAATGTCAGAATTCAATCTGATCTCTCCAATTTGGAAAATTTAATTCAATGTTACCAATTGTAGGTTTTCTGAACCTCTTTGGTAGCAATAGAAAAAAATTTTACTACAGGGGCTTTTACATCTAGGAAATAAAAACAAACACTAAAGTACAAAAGTATACAACTTCATACCATCATCCACAAGCATGTGTCAGCACTTAAGAAGAAAACTAGGAGTGAAAGAACCTAGGGTTTGGTTGAGATTATGTGATCTTATCTAATTAATATGTGATCTTGACAAATAATCCAATCTTAGTTTCTTTGCCTATAAAATGATAAATCTATCACCTTCCTACACTATTATCTCACAGGTTTCTATAACACTGCTCTAGTGCCCTTCTATGACTGAGAAGCAATTTGCTACACATCCTCATTGGGTTGTAGAAAGCTGTGTATGGTTCCTAAATAACAGAATTCTCCCTTTATTGCCACAGTTCTTGATAGTCTGGTTCTTATACTATGCAAGACAGGTTCCTGGCTGCGACTACAAGCTGTATGAATCTAGACAAGTCCCTTAAGGTGACTTAGGGCTCTGTTTCCATATTTATAAAAATGAGAACTAAATTAACTTCAAGGATCCTTCTGGTTGATCCTTCTCTTCAGATCACATATATCAATGCTGTGACTAAGAGACCCCAGAGAACAAATCAGAGTTGCAGCTTCCAAATATTCAAAACATTTCTCATCTCGGGTGCCTGGGTGGCTCAGTGGGTTAAACCTCTGCCTTCTACTCAGGTCATGATCTCAGGGTCCTGGGATTGAGTCCCACATCGGGCTCTCTGCTCAGTGGGGAGCCTGCTTCCCTCTCTCTCTCTGCCTGCCTCTCTGCCTACTTGTGATCTCTCTCTGTCAAATAAATAAATAAAATCTTAAAAAAAAAAAACAACAAAAAAAAATTTCTCATCTCTCCCCTGGTCTCTAAATGATAATTACAGATACTGTCAAGCAGGTAAGAGATGTTTTACAATACTTTTCAGATTTCCCAATAAAGAATACCTAGCTATGGGACGACTGGGAGGCTCAGTCGGCTAAGCCTCTGCCATCAGCTCAGGTCATGATCCCAGGGTCCTGGGATGGAGCCCCATGTCAGCCACCCTATTCAGTGGGGAGCCTGCTTCTTCTCCCTCTGCCTCCTGCTTCCCCTGCTTGCACACGTCTCTGTCAAATAAATACATTAGATCTTAAAAAAAAAAAAAAAAAAAAAAAAAAGACTACCTAGCTATGTAACAGTAAGATTGCAGATTTTAGAGTCATTGGATTCCAAAAATGAGATGACTCAAAAGAGTAATAGGGAGCCACATGCAAAAAAATAAATTATACATGACTATCCATTTCTAGTTTCTGGGAAAAAAACTAGTTTTTTCCCCAGAAACTAGTCTAATTTCATACCAGGTTATCGCCTGGTGGTGAACAATTTCAGTACATCTGACCCCTGTCATTTTTAACATCGGAATACCAGGAATGTCACATTAGCTTCAGCAGATCACTCAATTCCAGTCAACTCTGGGGATGCTGTACTAAGAGGCCTGAATGGAGTGGGGTGGAGGGGGGCGGAGCAGAGTAAGGAGGTGGTAGCCTAGACAGAAAGGTTTCACTTTGAAGTAAGATTTCATCAGAATGATTAACTTAAAATGTTTGAAAACCAAAGATCCGATAATGAATGATTCACTCAAAAACTATATGCAAGAATCTCTGCTAGGCACATTGAGGAGATTCAAAGATGAATTCAGGAAACTGAAGAGGCTATTAGCATTTTAATTCCGTAACACCCTGACTGTGGCTGACATGGATCTGGGTAGTCTGCCATCCCTCAATTGGATTCTCTACACCAGCTCTTCTCCAGTGCAGTTTGAAGATACAATATTAAAAGAAATATATGCAAATATTAATACTTCAGGAAATATGCTGCCTCATGAGTGATACAGAATGACTTAGGAATTCAGAGGCTGACTATCCATCTGGTTTTAGTAATTAGTGAAGACTTATTGGGATTAGTTTTGAGAAGAGCCCCTAAAGATAAGAACAAATTCATTTTAGTTTACCTCTTGGCCCTCACAATATGTTTTATTTATGTATGAGCATCACTGATTGGAGAAGCATGCTTTGAAACAAGGACAAGTACCACGATTAGGAAGCATGCAGAACATCAAGTGACCAATTAACAGCAGCCCTTCTTCACTCATGTGATTTCCCATTGTCTCAGGCATTACATTAGTGCTCATCCAACTACAAAGTGTATTTTTGTTACAATAACCACTAGTGTTTTATCCAATACAGATGTGAAATAGAAGTGGGAGGAAACAAAACAGCTCCTTTAATGTGAAAAAAGAAAGATTGTGGGGAGTTTCCTACACATCTTTTTCTGCTGTGACACACCACTATCCAATGCAAATGACCCTTCCCTACAAGTTGTCTACTTTTACCTTCCACCAATTCAATCATACATCTGAGGAGCATAAATATGTACATAACTAAAGGCTGGGATAATACACACTGTAACAATTTCATTATGACCCCATGGGCAAACTGTTTTTGAAATGTGACTTTAGCTTATTAGCACCTATAGAAGAACACAAAGCTCCAATATATATGTTTGGATTTCTGGTAAAGGCAAAAGGCAAAGGCTTAAAGACTATTATAAGTCTCTGTCCTAGAACCCTAAAATGAACCAAAATTATTTCAAGTCATAACAAAAAGATGTTTAGAAAAAATTAAAAAATTCAAAGATTTCAAATGCCCTATGATACTGTTCTTTAAATATATTTTGTAGTAACACCTACAATCATAATGGTTTAGAATGTAAAGAACCTAACACATTTTATTGCATCCCCAAATTTCAAATAATATACAAATCCTACTTTCGTTGGAATGCAGTGAACCCTCGTTCACCTAAAAAAGAAATAACAGTAACAGAACTGTTTAAGGACAGTAATTTGAAGAGAAAATAAAAAGAAACCCCAACCCAAGAAAAGGAGACATTGCTTTCCCTGTGGTGTTACTGGTAACTACTAAAGCTCTAAGCGGTCTAAGTGATCTTTGCACATTCAAGGTAATGATGCTTCCGGTTATTTTATCTCAAATATAAGGGAAAAAAATCATTAGCTATATGAGGTCTAACAATATGTCACACAGATAACAGGTACGTCAATCTAGCTTCACAGAACTTGGTCAAACTTGCTTAGAAACCAGGAGGGTGTGGATGTGATAGCAACGTTACTACAGACCATGCAAGAGGATAATAAGCCATAAATAAAGGTGAGTGTCAGGGAGATGGGAGTCATGAACACCGCACACACCTATTACATTCTTGCAATACTCGAATTGAGAGAAATTGTATTTATTTCTCTCCACGCATTTTCTCTTTCACAATATAAATTATTTCCATGCCTGGCTGGCATCTCACTCCACACCCCAAGCTAGTGACATAAAACATTTTCCCCAAGAGGACCCTATAGAAAGATACACAAGCCTAAGGTTTTTTCTTTTCTTTGAATTAAGCATGTATGTTCACCTCACTTTAACTTCTCTCTCGAGGGTGTGAAAATATCAACATCCGGTCGCCCACCCCCACCTTCTCGGTAATGCATCGCTTTGACTAGGCTCATCCCTCTCCTTCCCTTTCAGTCTCATCACCTCTGGGAAGCTTATCGAATACTTCTTCCCGCTGCCCCCACCCCCACATATTCATGGCCGAGCCGCATCCTTCTTCCAAGGAAGGAATTAGCAAAATAAAGAAAGGCATGCTCGAGAACCGACTGGGGAAGAAGCCTGACCAGCTTCAGGGTTGGCCTTTTTCCCCCCGCCTCGGGCCGGCAGTTGGTTCTCTAAATACTGAAACCACTGGTCTCCACGCTCTCCCCACCCCCCACCCCCTGGTAGACACTGCCGGAAAATGAAAAGGCCGGGGTGAAACGCGAGGCTGGGTCCTCCCTAGAGAAGCCCGCTGTCCCCGGGGAGGATGGAGATCGTGGGAAGAGCGGGGACACCCGTCCCGGGACCGACCGCCTCACCCACCCGAACCCCCAAAGATGCTGCCGCGACACCCAGGCCATCGCCAGCGGGCCCCTCCCCGCCCCCGCACTGCAGCGGCACCCGGGGCGGACCCCACGCCGGCCTCACTCGCACACACGCCACACACAAAAGCGCCGCGGCCGCCGCCTTCCCGCCCCCACAGCCCCGCGAGGCAATCAATGAGGCGGCCGGCTCCGCGTCCCCTCCATGAACACCCGAATGCAGGGCCCGGCCGGTAGGGGCGGCGGCGCGGCTCACCATCGCTCCGCTTGATCTCCACGTAAATCCCGATCTGGATCTTGCCGAAGTTGGCCGTTGCCATCACCTCATCTGGAGCAGCGGCGGCGGGCCGAGGGAGGGGGACGGGAGGGCGGAAAAGGCGGGGAGGGGGCGGGGTAGGTGTGGGAGGGGGAGCGGTTGCCCGCGGCCGCGCCGGCCCGGGCGACAGCGTGAACGCGAGCCGGGGCCGCGAGGAGCAGCGGCGGGGAAGCAGGCGGAGGCCCCGGGCCTGCAGGCCGGCGGGAGGACGCGCACGCCGGGGCGCGTCGGGGTGAAGCGAGGGCCGGTGCCGTCAGGCGGCGCGGGGGAGAGTGGGAGGGCCCGCGCCGCCCGCCTGGGAGCCGACGCTGGGGAGGCGGGGCGCCGCGCGCCTGCGCAGAGCGCGCCTCCCGCGTCTCTTCCTCGTTGGCCAGTCTTTCCCCGCTGCCTTGAGGCGCCCCCCGCGCAGCTTCGCGGCGGGGCGGGCGGGCGTTGGCTGCGGCTTGATCGGCCGAGGGAGCGGAACGCGCGTAGCACCGCCCCGAAAGATCCAGGGTCGCGTTTGATTTCGGCGCGCGGCCTAGAAGAGGCGGGAACCCGCGCGCTGGTGCCTTCCTGTCTCTGTGGCTTACATGATTTGTCCCTGTGGCCGGAATGGATTAAGGGTCCTACCGGTAGTGAGCTTTCCGAGTGGAATATACAGCAGGGGCATAGTGTTTCATCTGAGAGTGCCATCAGTATTGCCACTTAGAGGTGACCGACCCAAGTAACCCAAGGTTTCCCATCCAGTTACGGAAAAGGGGAAGAAACACCCTAAACCGAATGAAGTTCCTCTTCTTCCTGGCCTTGCCTTACAGCAGGATCGTCGCGACTCAAACGTAAACCGTGTGCTGGAGCCTCCTTGACTGCTCTGTTTATGGTGCATCCGAAGCTGGTGTGTAGTCGTCTCTGCTGTAGGTAGGGTTCGAGATTTTATTTGCTGTGGTCCATAAAGGCAATAACGATGATTGAGGGACAGAGGGCAGACAGCATAAGGTTGACTAAGGAATGTGCCTTTTCTGCAGAGTCACTTGCCTAGTCTGACCACATCAACGTGAAGAGAAAGACTCTCCGCCCTGGGAGAGCAGGAAGACCATATAGGCAAGGAACATGGAAACTTTACAGCACCATGCAGAAACTAAACAGAAGTGTGACTTTTGCTTCTAGTGTTCAGCCGTTATGGAGGAAACACACTGTTCATGCCTTACTTTCTCTAGTCATTGTTAATCTCTCTGTAATAGTAACTAAAAATAAACAGTTTTAAAATATAAAAATTGGAAGCTAGATACATGTGTGTCTTAAGTGCATATGTGCATATATGCACACGCCTGGAATTTTCAGCCCAATATAATCAAGAAAACTCTAAAAAATGTTGAAAGACTCAGACTCCATCTGTAACTTGAACATATTGAAGGCATGCCCGTCAAAAGAATGAAGTTTCTTAAATACATTTAAAAGAATATATGAAAAAAAAAAAAAACCGCTGGGTAGACAACTTAGGAAATAATATCTGTTTTGTCTTTTTGTTTTGTTTTGTTTGTTTTAGAGAGAGAGGGAGAATGTGGGGGACATAGGGAGAGATAGAATCTTAAGCAGGCTTGATTCCCAGCATGGAGCCCCCATGTGGGGCTCCATTTCACAACCGACGAGATCCTGACCTGAGCTGAAATCAAGAGTCAGATGCTCAACAGACTGAGCCACCCAGGTGCCCCATAATGTCTGCTTTTCTACTCCAGAAATGACATTACTGTAAATCTCACTTCAGGACCTCTGTTTCAAAATAAGATTTGAACAAATCAAGATTTGGTTGTTTTGGGGTCTTTGTTTTGTTTTGTTTTGTTTTTCATAATCTTAAGAGTTCTATCGAACTCTTCCGGTTCTGCCTAGTAGAATTTCTCTGATGTCTCTATGACTGAGGTGTAAAGCATCTATTAATGTGCTTGAAAATGCTTTACAGAATGCAAAGAAATCAAGCTGTACAGCTTTTAAATTTAAAACTGCATCATTAAATATGTTTTATCATGGTTGGTGACACATACCTTGTACCCTCTGGGTTATGTAATTAAGAAGTCTAAACCTTTAATCCATATACAAAGGTATTTTAAAAAGATGTATATGATCATGCTCCATAAAAAAAAGTATGAGATATACCACATGTCAGATATAAAAACCTTTCCTTTGTAGGTCATACGCAAAAGGCTATGTTTTTTGGTACATTTCAACATACATATTTACCAAGACCTGCTTTGTGTGCACGTAGCCTAAAGAACAGTCATAAATAAATGCAATGAGGCCATATTTCCATCAACATCCTAGATCAAGAATTCTAACTCTGGCTCAGGCATTAACAAAATATATAACCCCAACTAGAAGAGTGACTGGCACACACTAGACATTGACATTTGTTCAATTAGTTAACTTGTTAAACTGCTCTGAATCTCTCTCAGCTCTTAGAATAGCCTGGAAAAGTAACTCTGTTCTCTCAACTGCAGAAAGTTTTTGTGAGGCTCAAATGAAATACTAAAACATGGCAGTGCTTTGATATTTATAAAGTATAATACAAGTTTAAAAACAAAGTAAAACAATCCTATAAAAAATAAACCAGTACTCTACTAAAATCCTCAAATCATTAATTAGAATTTTATGTCCAGTGACATAAAATTAAACAGTTGGCACTGGCTCTGACCCTCATCACCTCACATTTGGTAGGACAGCAAAAGCTTTACAGATCTGTCTCTATTCTTTTACCCATTCCAGGCCATCCCACCTTCACTGGCGGAATAATCTTACTCAATGATCATTTCTGTCAAGTCATAACCTAATAAGGGTGGTTGCTATTGACCTATCCTATCCTATCCGGAGTTGATAAACTGTTTTTTAAAAAATCACTGTTATTTTAAACCAACCAAGCTCGTCTCCTTATTATGCCTGAATTTCTTTTAAAAATTTCTGTGCTTACTGGGTATTTACCCCAAAGATACAGATGTAATGAAAAGAAGGGCCACCTGTACCCCAATGTTCATAGCAGCAAAGGCCACAGTTGCCAAACTGTGGAAAGAACCAAGATGCCCTTCAATGGACGAATGGATAAAGAAGATGTGGTCCATATATACAATGGAGTATTATGCCTCCATCAGAAAGGATGAACACCCAACTTTTATATCAACATGGACGGGACTGGAAGAGATTATGCTGAGTGTAATAAGTCAAGCAGAGAGAGTCAATTATCATATGGTTTCACTTACTTGTGGAGCATAAGGAATAACACAGAGGATATTGAGAGGTGGAGAGGAGAAGTGAGTTGGGGGGAAACCGGAGAGAGAGACAAATCATGAGAGACTGTGGACTCTGAGAAACAAACTGAGGGTTTTGGAGGGGAGGGGGATGGGAGGTTGGGTGAGACTGGTGGTGGGTATTATGGAGGGCTCGTATAACATAGAGCACTGGGTGTGGTGCATAAACAATGAATTTTGGAACACTGAAAAAAATTTTAAAACAATTTCTGTGCTTTGAAATAAGTCCATCAGAAAAAGACAATTATCATATGATCTCTCTGATATGAAGAATTGGGGGGGTGGGGGGTAGGGAAGGAAAAAATGAAACAAGATGGGATCCAGAGGGAGACAAACTGTAAGAGACTCTTAATCTCAGAAAAACAAACTGAGGGGTGCTGGAGGGGAGGGAGGTAGGAGGGATGGGATGGCTGAGTGATGGACATTGAGAAGGGTATGTGCTATGGTGAGTGCTGTGAATAGTGTAAGACTGATGATTCACAGACCTGTACCCCTGAAGCAAATAATACGTTATATATTAATAAAATAAAAGAGTTTTCATGAAATATAGAAAGCAACAATTTTTTTTTTTTTTTAGATTTTATTTATTTATTTGGCAGACAAGAGATCACAAGTAGGCAGAGAGGCAGGCAGAGAGAGAGGGGAAGCAGGCTCCCTGCTAAGCGGAGAGCCCGATGCAGGGCTTGATTCTAGGACCCTGGGATCATGACCTGAGCCCAAGTCAGAGGCTTTAACCCACTGAGCCACCCAGGTGCCCCGAAAGCAACAAATTAAAAAAAAAGAAATTCTGTGCTTTGGGGTCTTTAGTACACAAACTTTAAGAGATTATTCCACCAAAGAGGCTGTTAAACTAGTGAGTTTGGAGGCAGCAGCCAGCACTCCCCATAACCAGTAATCTGGTCCTCTGGTGGAAAACTAGAGGTACAACATGGCTCCAGTTTTAGTTTAAGATTATCTGTATCTGTCTACATCTTATAACTTGAACTCTTCCATTTAGTATTTGCATCTATTCTGTTACGTCCAGTTTGTGGATCTAGGCTGAAATGGAGAAAACAGGGTTAGCAGAGACTGTCTTTGATTTTACTATTGTCCACTTTGGCCCAGAACTTTCTTACAGATTTTTTTTTTTAAGAACTTTTGGTGGTGATTCTCCTTTCCCCATAATTTACTCAGATTTAAATTCTAGTTAAACTTGTGTAACTTCACTGTAATTAATTTTAGTCCTTACACAAATATATTTAAAATGCCTGGAGGTACAAATCCCAATTTTACCTGCTCTAAATACCCACTCTTTTCTTCTCCACTGGGTTTCTCTCCATTGCCTACAAACATGTTCAGGCAATTTTCTCTTGAGGGGAAAAAAAAAAAAATCTTGATCCTTCACTTCCTATTTAAATTCCATTCTATTTTTCACTTTCCCTCCCCTGCCAAATTCTCAAATGAGAGCTGTAAATACTTACTGTCTTCATTCCCCATCACTCATTAATTTCCTAAGCCCTAAATCTGGATTCACTCCTCTATGGAACTATATTTCTTAAAGTGAACAATTACCTTCCAATTACCTCGTTCAGTCGACATCACTATCTTTATTTGCCTTGAACTCTGAAAAATGGTCTACCTACTTTCTTCCCTACAACACCTTGCCCATTCCTGCCTCAGCTTCCTTTCCATGTGGAATGGTGCAGTGAAAGTGTCCCTTTATGCTTTCTCCTCCCAATTTAATCTAAAATGACTGTCCTACCTGGGTGATTTTCCCCCAGTCATGATCCTCAGAAGGACCTAACAAAGATTTTGAACAAAAACAGGAGTAAAAATTCTCTTCCAGGCCCAATGGTTTAAAAATCTCCAGAGGGAGAACTTAATATGGCCCACTTTTTAAGAAGTCACTGGGAGATTCTGAGGTGTAAGTACAACTGATTAAAATCTCTTTGTACAACTGGCTAAGATCTGTTGATTATCCCTGA